CCAGCCTTCATTAGATCTTGCATATAGCTGATGATTGGAATAGCACCAAACCACTGAAAATATCAGCAGCGATTTTATTCGGTGAAAGGGTCCTCTCTTCCAACAAAATTTCATTCAAGCATACATAAACTGTACTTCGAGAACCATCCGAAAAAAGGGGATCTCTTTCGGAAACGATTCAGCTTCCAGCTGTTCCATTTAATGAAATGCTACAATCGGGAGAAAATCGCCTGGAAGAACGGTGGAGTAAAACCTCGTTGCAATGATCACATAGCGCAACAATCGAAAAATAAACAAACTTTGACGTTTGTAGGCAACTTTGCCACCATTAATGCTACCATAAATTAGAACGGGTTAGGATCAAGCAAAATGGCTTTAGATAAATACAATTCAGTCTGCAAGTTTCCTTCATAAAAGCCATTTAGAAAATTTAAAGCAGCCATTTTGAAAAAAAAATATGATCCAAAATGGCCAAATGTTTGCCCATTACAAACAATTATGCAAAGTTTAATACAAATCGGAGAAGTTCGATTGAAAATTAAATAATGTTTTCGTTATTTTCTCGAGAGTGCTCTGATAATTCATGAGTCCATTTCAAAGAAATTATTTGAAGTGAGTTTTCAAGATAGGTAGTACTTAGTAGTTTTGCCATCTTTGTCTCATCAAACCTACCGATCCTTTTGGCTCAATTGCATTTGGTTTTATGCTTAATTTAAATGCATATCGCTGAACCGAGAAAATTTGATAATTTCCGTGAAAATACAGGAAAAAGTACTAATCTGCATTTGCTGGTGCAAATTTTAGAAATACTTATGCTTGTTGAATGAAATTTCAATTTCGGTAAAATCACTCATTTAACCTAGTAACCTCGGCCTTATCAAGTTCGGCCTATTCATATTAACGTTCTGACCAAATTGTTCATCATAAAAAAATATTGCCCCTCATAGTTGAAGATGCTAATTTCAAATAACAGACTGTAGTGGTAATTTTTATACGATAGATGGAGTAGATGAAAGCATAGAGTTGATAGTTCCGTTAGAGTACGGCAGTGTGAAGATTGTATATAGATATTAGAATAGCGAGCTAGGACAACTTTTAAGGAAGGTACAAATCGGTTTTTTCATCTCTCTTTACCAAACTCCCCCTTTGGAGAGGGATGCTTATTGTGTGCTCTCAACTTAATGGTCTAGGAGAACTTCCACAGTTATTAATTGAAAGCTTTCGATGCCAATACCATTGCTGCATTAGTAATATTGTGTGGCAAGGACGTCTACGTCCCGGGAAGATGAAAAAATTTCCAATCCGGAAAATTCCTAGATCGAACCAAGAATCGAACCCAGCCACCTTCGGCATGGTCCTGTTTTACAGCTGCGCCTTTACCGACTGAGCTAAGGGAGCCCCACCAAACTGTTACTCTCCGGCTACTCTGAAGGATCTTTGTGGGTAGGGAATTATACCAACAATCAATACGGGAATTATACCAACAATCAATACGAAATTAACGATTTTAAATTGACTCACTATTTGTCTAGCCTATTGGTCCCAAGCAAATCGATTAACGTACCCCATTCTAGTCGAAATTCTAGTACTACGCACTGTTTGTTTTGATTCGCTATGAAAGTGTGACAGATAAAATGAGGGGTTATTGGTTTTTCCTATATTTCGAGGGGTGAATCGATTAGCTTGGGACCGAAGAGAGTACCAGAGCTGAGCCAAAAAGTTAAGCACGTTATTGCAGGAATCTTCTAGTCTTAGAGTTACCTCTATGAGTATACTGAGCTCTGGGTCGCTTATTCTGTAAACACTTTTGCCTACTTTGTTCACACTAATCACTCACCTGTGCAGAAGCTCTAGTACGCTTGTCGATAGAAAATCTCTGCTGTCAGAAAGAAAACCAACCAATAGCCATACCCAAGGTGAAAGGAAACCTATAGGGGACTATAAAGAGCGAGACCTGGATACCCCTTTATGGGTACGAATAAATAAATCAATAGAAAGATCTGGGAATGCTCCGGACGTATTAAAAGTTTTACGGTGGTGGTCTCGGCGAAGTACTGGACAGCGGTGGTGTTGCCAAAGGAAAGGCGGTTGGGATAGGCCACCCTCTGGCAGTCCGTTGGCGATGGCACTGGACAAGCGGTCCGGAATAGACCAGTCTATCCACTGCACTTGAAAAAGAAAAACCCGAAGTTTGACAGAATGTCCCTTCGAAGAGGCTGGCAATACTACCTGACAGGGTTCGTTAGCGTTGCCAGATATACCGATTTATCGATATTTATACCGATTTCCGAACTAGATACCGATATACAGATAAGGTTCCTCAGAATACCGATTTTTGAGGTGTTATAACGATTTATACCGTTTTTTTAAATGATCAAAATGATTATTGCCTGCCCGCGCTAAGAATTTCGGAGAAAATTATTGTGTGAGACTTGTATCTTTTTGAATATCACAAATTTTTAGAGCCTTTAAAATTCTAAAAAAAAAAAAAAACATCTTCAAAAATGTCATCGATTAATGTTTCAATTTCCTGCAAAAAACAGTCGATGGCTCTTTCTGGTAATTTATGGGGAATAGGGAAATACTTTTTAAACATTATTTAACTTCCTGGATTTTCTTCAAACTTTCCTCTGGTATTTTCTATTTACGATTCCTCTCGGAAACTTATTTCGACTTCCCTTTGAAGCTCCTTCAGCCTTCGCTCGAATGATTCTTCCCGGAACTTCAGGGATGTTTCTAGATTTTGATTGCGGATCCACTGCGGAAACTTCAGAGAAGTCCAGACTTTTGAGTAAGTTTCGATAAATTAAAGAATGTTTTAATAACTTCTGTTAAAATTCTAAAACCCGGTCCAGCGAACACCAGTGAACTTAAGGAAACATCATAAATATTTTGGATACTTCACAAGTCCAAAGAACTTCTGGAAAATTTAATAGTTTTCTGAAACAGTTCCATTAGTTTCAGGAGAATTAAGAGAACTTCAGGAAGCTCTGAGAACATCAGGACAATCAGATCAGATCAATAAATTTCAAGGAAATCGTAAATTTTAAAGGAGTTCTGAGAAACTCAGGCAATTTCCGAAAACTTAAGCAATGTTCCGAGGGGCTCATGCAAATTTAAGGAATGTAAGAGAAGTTACACGAATATTAGAACATTGTGAGAACATGTTATGGGAAGTTTCGTGCTTATTGATGGCAGTGTCGATCACTTTTAAAAATTAGAAAAATCGGGAAGATCAGAGAACTTCAATGATGATGTTACAATAAATTGAAGAAAATTGTGAGAGCGCTTAAGAAATTTCGTAATCTTCAAGGAAGTCTAGAGACTTTCAAAGTTGATAAGAGATATTCTGGTAGTCTCATTATAATCAGAGAAGTTCCAAGTATTTCAAAGATGATCAGAGTACTCCAAAACATCCGAGGAAATATGGAATATTCATAAGTACATTTCAGGAATGTTCCAAAAACTTCAGGAGCATTGCGGGGTCTTCAGGGATGTTTTGTGACCTTTGAAAAATTTTCTGGATCATAAGAACATCCCCCAAGAGCTTGTTTCTTACGGAATTATGTCCTTGTTGCTTTCGACTGTTCCGTAAGTGCTCTGGCTTCCGCCTTTCTCTAGAATTTTTTTCCAATCTACCTTAGGAAGTTTCTGCCAGCGTCTCCAGGAAGTTTCTTCGGTTTTCTCCAGGAAGTTCAATTAAACTTCTCCCAGAAATTTCATTCGCCTAGTTCTGGAATTTTGTCCAGTTGGTTTTTTTTTTACTTCTTTTGGAAGGTTTTTCCGAGTTTCTTCTGGCTTCCCCTGGAAATGGCTACTTCTGGAATTTATTTCCGATTTCCAAAACTTTTCGGTCTTCCGCGGATGTTTTTCCGACTTCTCTCAGAACTTTCCTCAAATTTCCTCCAGGAGAGCTTCCTTCTTCTTTCTCTGGATGTTGTTTTCAGCTTCCTCCAGAAACTAATTCAAGGATTTTCCAATCATATTTAGTCCAAAAGTTAAAATTTTCGCAAAACGGCAAAAATATAAAATTAATTAAAATAGAAAATACCGATACATACCGATTGTTTAAAACCTTTGATACCGATAAGCTTTAAAAAAAATCTGGCAACGCTGATGTCGACTACATACCTTTGAAAGATTGATGTACTAGCTCAAACCGCTGACAATAAATGGTTCGTGTGGGGTTTACGCAAACAGTGTTTACAGACAAATCAAAGGCTCATGTATATACTATGACAGCTATGGGATCAACCGCCAGTAAGGCTGTCCGTTTTATTACTGGGATTGGTTAAGGCTTGAGGTGCTCACTGGCAGACGGGTTAATTGATTTGCGATTTCTTGTGGAGGAGCCAACAAGTAACATTAAGGAACCAACGGTTACAAAACGTCTAAATATTAAAATAAATACTCTAGAACTACTTTCCTGCGAAATTCCCGCTCTAGACCACTATGCATTGGCTTCAAGATATTAAAACTTCTCAAACAATATTTTTTTTAAGAAATTGTTTAGAGAGTAACCTGTTCAACTTCCTCTTCTAAAGGTGATCCAAAATCTTCTACTTTAAAAAATAAATACTAAAAGCACAAACGAAAATGATCACCTGACAAAGACCAGAAAGCACTAACGTTTATTAAATTACTTCAGAAGAAGCAGCTCCCCTTGAATTAACATTTCCAACCCATAAAGCAATAAACTTTCCGCATACAGCACAGTACATGACCCGTTTACTCCCGAACCGACCGACATATCTTCCGTTGAAACAATCCACGTATAGGTACAACCGAATCAATCGATACTAATCGTTAGCACTGTATGACTTATTCATAACCAAAACATAAGGAAGTCATTGTTCGACCTGAGTGCAAACAAAAAAGGCAACGCGTCTCCACCGCGTTGCAAAGCGACACACAAACTACCCCCAAACGCGTGGCTGTTTACTCCACCCAATTTTAATGAAAACAGAAAGCCTCATCTAGCTACAGCTACATGTACTCACCGTAACCATTGGCGAATTCGGCTATCTTCTCCGAGCTCTTCAGCAGGCCAAAGTTACTCCACAGGTTATTGATTCGCCGTCCAAATGACTTCCTTCGTACCAATTTGCCACTCTGACTGTTACCATTGTTACCGCTACCGGTTGTTCCTTTTGAAGATTTTCTTTTCACCGGTTTCCTAATCTCATAACGATTCGTGTCCGCCGGAATTGATATGGCAGCCGCCTCCGCGATCGTCGCAGGTACATTGCCACCACCTCTAGCGTTGACATTGTTGTTCTCTTCGACGACGGTACTAATCAAAGACGACGGTTCACTTGGTTCTGGATCCGCGATGGGAGCTGTCCCACCTCGATTGGAACGCACTTTTGCGGGTTCCGGTTTTATGTTTCTGCGGAACAGCGATTTGAAACTGTCCACAAACCCGGAACTTTTCCGCGCTTCAACGCTTCGAATGTCGTAGGACTGAACCATTTTCACCAATTACTTATGGAACATTCCAGACACGTTGCACTACACATACTGAACGACGGCCTTCCCCGATGCAGGTCAGAAACACTGCTTTAACCCGTTCCGGTATCCTGGCGGGCCTGGTTCACTGAACTGTACAGGAGAAAATGTAAATTTTCTTCACCCTGCCTTCCCACACACACGCGAGAATGTTGTGCAATTTTTTGCTCTATGCTCCCGTGAATTCAAAACAACACTCGGGCGCGTGGTGCCTGGGTCAATTGCCCAGCACTAGACACAGAGGCCAACGATAACACTCGAAAAAAAAATGAACCACGCTCACGAAACGTTCTTCCTGTTCTGAGTCATTACCCAGCCGCGTCGCGAAGGCACACAAATGGCAACCCATCCGCGTCCGTCGTCGTCGTCGTCGTCCTCCTCACACTACATAACCGACCACCCCCAGAGTACCCACCCACCCAGCAAACACATGCTAATATCGTGCGGTAAATGGACTACCTCCACACTATACACTACACTACTAGTGAGGCGCATATTTCGATTCATAGAGTCTTGAATGAGGGGGGAGGGTTTCTTATGGACCTAGTTACTGCCGTTATTTCAGTTGGATAAAGAAAGTGGCGACTGATTGCTCACCAGGCGGCAATGAGGGGAGCACCAATCAAATCTGAACCATCATGCCAACCGGTGCAAGAGGTGAAGAACCCGAACCTAGAACAATCGGTTACACGTAAATTAGTCTTTTCTTTTCGTGAGTGACTCGATGGCGTTTGCTTTTCTTTATTATCACAATAAGTAAGGAAACGGAACAATGCCACAGTTGCTTAGGTTTTTGGGACGTTAGCGATTTCGTTGTAGAAATTTTGGATGTTTATAATAGTAGCAAATGTATGCTACTGCACGACACGTAGGTTGAGAAAAACATGTTTAAAATATTGAGTCAAAAATAATGTTCATTGGTTTTATAAGTAAACAAATGCCCTATCTGTTTTCCATTTAATTTTTTACCAAATCGCAAAAAAATCATACTTTTCAAGGAAGCCCGAATTGACAACCTTACGCTAATTAAAATTGTAAGCTACTATCAAGTGGTGATGCGTAAAATCGTTTGTACAGCACACACGCTTTGTTTACTCCTAAACGGCTGTCAATCATTTGAGTTTTGAACTTCAGCTTGTTTGATGCGAAAGTCATTTGTTTTTCAATAAAAATTGAATAAGTAAACAACATGGTCTACACTATTAGCTTCAGCAGCGTGACCTCACGAATGGTACTGTTTACAAGCACTTAGAATTTATTTCCGATAAAAAAAGTATTTTAAAAAATGCCGGGGTAAAAGTAGTTGCGCACGAACATTGCAAAACTATGGTTTACATCTCACTGCACTGTGCGAAAAATTATCGAAAAAATCCACCCATGAAAAAATCGTCCACGTAAACAGTACCACTAAGCTGTCATCCGATTGAGGTTAACCCCAATGATGCAAAACCTTATAAGTAGTATAGAAATATTAACCGTTGAGAGCCAAAGTTGACTTTATCAATTTGAGTGTATCATAGAGGGGACATAGTGGTCGGAGAGATGAACGGGACATTTCGCATAATGGAATAATGGAATGATTTAACTTCACTTCTGATTCTGTTTCCAGTCCCGTGGGGAATAACCTTGGAGTGCCCAGGGAAGTGTATTAGGGCCCCTGTTATTTATTATGTATATTAATAACTTGCGACGCATTTGACACTAACGATCATATGTTTAAGGACACCCCAAAAAAAACCATGCAAATATGTTTTGTTTAATGATCTCTCATTTTACGTTCAATTTTCGATCTCCAAAGGTTATTTGAATGGTATGAATGGTATAGCATAAGTTTTTTACTACTACTTTTATTTCAAAATTTGGCCAACCCAATTCTGAGAAAATCAGTCACGATTCTTCAGAGTAAATTTTGAAAAATATTGTAACTTTGGGTGAACTTTTAGCACACAAAATTTGAAAATTATATTGAACAATTTGCCTACGAGGAAAGTTCCATTAAATACCTTTCAAATGATCCAAAGAGAACGAAAATTGGACGTAACATGACAGAGATATGAACATAACAAATTTGGCATGTTTTTTGGGGGTGTCCTTAAACTTATGATCGGGAGTGTACGATTTTGCGACATTAATCTTTTTGCAGATGATACTGTGTCAGGGGGTAAGTCACTCTGCCACCTTGTGCTTAACACATCAAAAACACTCTTCGACACACTGAAATACCATTCAACCACCATGAGAACACTATTTTCACTGGATTTTCTTACGAAAACACTTCGCTGAATGCATGCAAACGATTCTTTATGCTTTCAGCTTCAATTTGACTATGTTTTTACCACTGAGAAAAAGCAATCTAGCAGGGTTTTCTTGAAATGAAACACACGCACTACAAATTGTAGCTGATTTCGAGTTGCCGATAATAGAACAGCAGATTTACATGCAGTTCAAATGGAACGGTTGCCGAAGAAAAACTGGTTGCCGACAATACTCGCTCTCACTAGAGAAGATTGGAGCTTTGTAAAAGCGTTTCAAAACAGTTTTTGACAATTCTTTCGACTGAAATTGTTAGAGCAGCTGGCAGCAAAAGATTGTAAACAAACCAATACTGCATATGTGTGCGTTTCATAGAGAAAAAGGCTGTAGAAAGAAGGTCGCTGTCTCCCTCCAGCAATCGGTAGAATTCCACCGCAATTGGGACATTGAAAAGACAGACAATTTAGCTTCTAAAACAAGCTAGAATATCTGCAACTGTGTATGAATGAAGGAGCGGATAATAATTATCACGTCAATTATTGACTGATAGCTTAAGAGAGGCATTTCTTTCTAGTTTGCTAGTTATTTCATGTACACAATACCAAATCAGAGAGTTCTATCCTACTAGCTGAGGCGTATAAAGAAGTTCGTATTCTTTGCAAAATTTAGAACCAGAGATTGCTTAGAAAGGGGCATACTCGGCTGGGTTATCAGGGCTTGATTGCGACTGGAATTCGTTTGGGATGGATTTGAGAGGGCTTTACTGGTTTGAGCCAGGATCTCAAGCATGAGAATTTGACGGCTGAGGGAGTACTTTTTGAGATCGGAGTCGGACATATACAGCACACTATTTTAGATATGTGATGCGGATAACGATCAGGGATGAGAATTTGAATTCTTGTAAGTTGTTAACGTTGACGTGCGCTTTTTACTGGGATTCCATGCTAACACTGTGCATTTTTAAGTTGGAAAATTTTTGAGGAGGGCAAAAAAAATAATTCTGTTTGTAAACAAATGAGGACGTAATGGTTGCCAGTAATCATTAATTTTCGCTCAACGTTTTGACAGCCAACTTGACAAGCAGAAACACGCAGAAACACTTTCTGACACCCAAAAAATACACAAGAAACACAATCAACACATGCACAAGGTGGCAGAGCTACTTACCCCCTGGCCGTTAATATCTCTGATATTTCCTAAAGCTCTCTAGTCTAACTTCTTCGACGTACTTGGAAGTTCTTTAAAATATCAATTTTCCTCAAGTTATCTCCACATCTATGAAATTATTTTGACTTCCCTAAAGTTCTCTTTCTATCCATGAATTTCTCAAATTTTCTTATAAGTTCATGCAGTTTCCTGAAGCTTTTGGAACCACAATAAAAAACCTGAAGTTTGCCTGAAGTTCACAAATTTCCAGAAATTTTGCGAAACTTTCCTTTTTTCTCGCATTTTGCCTATGAAACTTCCTGAAGTTTACGGAACTTCCCTTATGTTTTCCTGATGATGTTCGTGGAATTGTTCAGAAATTAATGGAACTGCCCAGAACATCTTTAAATTTCTCTTTGAACATGGATCTTCCGTAAAGCTTTCTTAATGTTTTTAAGTTCATTCCCAGAAGTTTTTTGTACTGTCCTTAAATTTTCTAAACTTCTTGGTGGTTTCCTCTATTTAACTGGAATAAATGGAAATGCCATAAAGTTCTCGAAACGAACCTAAAGTTTTAGGAACGTCCCTAAAATTCTCACAGTTTTTCTGATATTCATGGAACTGCCCTAACATTTTCAGAACTTACCCAAAATTCACGTAACTTACTCATATAGGTCTTTAAGCTTAAATTTTTCTAAATTTAATGGAACTGAAGTAAATTTTCTTGATATCTATCAGATTGCCCTGGAGCTGTCCGCAACTTACTCTTAAAGATCTTTTAACTTCCCCACATTTCTATCAATCAGAACTTCTTGAAGGTTTCAACATTTTTTGATACATTCACTAGCTAAATCTCGAGCATCTAGAGCTCAAAAAATCTCACACTAGCGAATAAATCTTTCATTTCTCGCATCTATTTGCATCTCGTATCATCTTTTTGCAGGAAATCTTCAAAATCGTGATAAATCTCCTTTCTATCTACTCAGCGTACGTGCAGCTAGCCACAGCAAAATACAATATTTTCTGCATCGTAAATAGAGTCGTCTCCCTCGTAAAATATGTAATCTAGTAATCCAGATGGGCATCCGAAAATGCCTTTATTGCCCAACTTTTATAAGAGGAGCATACGAAGATCGATATTTCGATCATTTTTACGAATTGACCACTTTTATGGATGTTCCGGAGAGGAGGGTTTCGTGACCACCAGTGTGCGCATGCTGGCCCCAGATTCAAATTCATTCATGTAGCATCACAACAAGTGATTTAAAAAAAATCGTTGGGCTTTTCGGATCTTCCGGAGGACCGTATCTTGAGTACCTAGCTCTGTGATCAATTTCAGTTCAAAGTTCGACGATAAGTTTAGCAACTATCGGTGCGAAAGCCAAAAACGTAAATCCACAATCGTGATAGCAACGACCGGAGCGTAAACAAGTTGCTAACTAAAATATCAATGGCTAAAGTTGTCCAACTAACAGCCCGAATAGCAACGCATTGGTGTGGGTGGTCTAACGGAACAATCTCATTTTTTAATACTTTGTTACAAGGGTGTTATAAACATTATCAACCAATAAAACGTCATCAAAATAGCCTTGTAATAATTTAACAACAAGTGGAATGACCAATGTGCAGGTATTTGAATGTAATATTCATCTACTC